TTCTTAGCTTTAAATTCTTTCCTTACAAACTCTAACTCTGAAGGTATCTCATCCAACTCCTAATTCACTGGTTGGCAATGATCTTTGAGTGTAAACACAACCTACTTACCTCTCTTGGCTTTCCACACCAAATACTTATAAGTGACTTTGTCAATAGCTAACCAAGGATTCACTCTTTTGGGCTTCTTCCATGCCTTGATCACATTATCCACCTTTTGTAGTAATTTTAACACACTATGTAAAAAATCTGATTGAGTGAGTTTGTATGTCATAAGAATGAACTACTTAGCCTCAAATTACTTTCAAACCATAAGCGATATATAACTTGTTGCTCTATATAAACCTAGAAGTGGGACCCCTATTTCATCTTTATATGGATATAACATCAGTTCATGATCCATTCATAGAACTAACCATTTCACTTGGGTGCAAATAAGACCTTGTAGCAGGACCATCCATTCCTCCTTAACTTTGGGCTTTGGCCATTCATTCTTACAAAATTGCTTAATTGAAGCTCTATTACGAAAGTAGATTTTGGAAAATGCATTCTTCTTACACATAAAGTGACTCTTCATTGACAAATATAATAATGGCATACATCCAACAAAGTGCCCTTTGCCTTTTTGATGTAAATAATTCAGCGATATAATTGTTTCAACTAAGCTTGTAGAAGAGGGATTGCAACCTTTTTCCACATGCTACAAAAAATCAATCACTTCTATATCAATATGACTTAAAATTCTAGGAAAAACTACCATGCCATATATGGCTAAAGCAAATATATCCAACCCTTGATCATCATTCAGATGCTTTGTGATGAAATTATGAAAAAACTCTCAAAGCAGACAAATATGGTCATTTCTTTCTTAAATCTATACATTTACATCTTCCTTTTTGACTCCATGATATCTATGAGTTTTTTACGAAATGTTGATTTTTGCCTTCTAACATATATCTTATCTAGTAATTGGAGATGCAAACTCATCAATGTAAAATACTCCTCTATAGTTGGTGTCATGTCAACCTTATTGAAGATGAAGCACTATATGAAGGATCCCATAATTGCACTGCTACTCTGATGAGGGAATGTTCAACTACCATTGAAAGGAGATGTGTAATATGACCATACTTTTCACAAAAGGCTAACTATCTAGACCGATTCATACCTTCCCATATATCTGATAGCTATTTCAAATCATTTTATTTGAGGAGCAAATGAACTTCCTTTTGTTGTCTTTTTTTATTGTTATTTAAATTCACCAGTTTAAAGTTACAAATAAAAGATTATTTCTAGTTTTTTTTTTTGTTACAAAAGAGATCGTAATTTTGAAATGAAAGAAAGTGTTGAGATTTAAACCTTAAACTTATTGAATACCTTCTCCGAAAACAACTATATACATGACCTACTAGAGTTTAGTTTCAAATTATCTAAATTTTTCATCACTTAAGAATCGTCCGCCTATTGTTTTTGCACATATACTCAAATTTACATATATGTTCAAATTAGATTAGTTTCTATTGGACGAATTGTGTAGTAGGATTAATGATTTAATTTCATGATTTACATTTCAATATGGAGATTGCTATTTCCATGACCAAGAAGTTACTTAAGTTCCTATCAATGGAAAAGTTTTACTTCTTTAATTGCAAGGTTAAGATTAATTAAGTGGAGTGGTGGTTATTAAATTAATCATATACTGTAGAATAGGTAGATTAACAAATAATAAAAAATTAACAAAAAACTTTACATGACTTAATTTTTTATTAGAAAAGATTACATGGAATAAAAGAAGATAACACATGTATTGAAATTTAAATTTTAATTGAATACTAATTTTTAAAAATAATTTTATAAGTTAACTGAATTAAATTTTAAACTAATGTTTTGCACGTACTTGACTATAGCGTAAATAAATATAATTATTAAAACAAAACCCGAACCTATTTAATTTATTTGTCTAACTTTTTATTCTTTTAAACCCCACTCATGTTATACAGCTTCTGTAGAAATGCTTCTCTATCTGCTTGTACTAGGCAAATTCCAAAGGTTCAATATTCCTTACATGCTTTGATTCTTCTTGAGGAGAAATTTTCTCACTTTTATAGAAACACATTATGGATATGAATATATATGTAGATACTTATGTAGATTAATTATTCTAATAATAAAGAGATTAAGAATCAGAATAAAGCATAAATTTAAATATATCTTGATTTTACATGATCTAATTTTTAGAAAGAATTTGAAATTATAATTTAAATTTAAATCTTATAAACTAGAAATGATTTTTATGTGAAATATGATTATAAATTACTTGTTTCTGATTATATAACTTAAAATCTAAACATATTTTTAAAAAAGTAAAAAATTTTAAAACTTAGAATAAAGTAGCTTGACAATTCAAACAAATTAAACATAATTAATTTCTTATTATAGACATTTTTTTTTATTAAGGAGTCCATTTGAGAATATGAGAAATGATTGTAAATGTTGAGATTTAAGTCTCTAGATATCAACTCTTAAAAATAATTTCATAAATCAATTAACTTGAATTTCAAATGTCTTAGATCTCTGACGTGCTACATAGTTGTTCAATCAACTCGTCCCTACATGCCTTGGAACTCTCTTATGGTTAGTCTTTTAATTTATGTTTTTCTTTTTCCTTCTTTTCCAAATGTAAGAACCAGGGTTTATTTTTTTATTTACAAAACAGGATCTAATGATGAAAAAACTTCATTCGTAAGGAATAAAAATTGATGACATTGTAGCTGTTATACAAACAACTGCGATGCATCCCCGAATCATCAAAGCCATTAAATCGGCTCATGCTTTGCGCTATGCATACATTTTTCTCTCTGTTCGTGTATATTTAGTTTTTTTTTTTTTCATAAATGGTATTTCATTGATCCAAAGAAGTAGGAGGCCACCAGTCAACAAATCAAACAATGAGCTTTAGCATTGCCTATACAATCCCGGCCCTCAATTTTTACATACAGAGCTAATAGATGGATTATTCATATTTTTTACAAATTTTAAGAGGCAAAACTTTACATTAAAACTAATGTCTAGCAAAGTATTTGTCAATGTTTAGAGAACAAATACCAAGTTTTGGAGAATTCCTCGCATGCCAAATGTGATATATTTATACTTGTTCACACTCCTCTCAGAATCATAGTCTAAAAAGTTTCACCTATAATAATCCAATCGAGCTCCTGCTGTCATTTTTGGATATTGCAATAAAAAACACACTTCACTTTTGCTAAAACTAATTGCCAAACTTGCTTTGAGAAGTCACAAGAAAGGAAAAGATGATCCCTAGTGACATTTGAGTACATCAACTCCTAATATTAGCTACTGTGCTCAATCTACTAAGAACCTTAAGCCAAGTGATAAAACTATGTTTGGTGAGTGAAGAGGAATCCAGACCAGTTTATGGCAAACCACAGTGGGTTGCCTTTCCCTGATCCAGTCCCATGTATTTGAAAGTAAGAACTTGCTAGACTTTGATGCCTGCCAAACAACATCTTCTTGTTCAGTAAAGATCAGACCAGCCGACATCTGCTGCATATCCCTCATCAGTAGAGAAGAAGTGAGATATTGCATCCAATCGTTTGTCGAGAGAGCAGATGCCACAGTTGCATTCTCAGGGATTGCAGCCTGTGATATTATTCCTCCGTCGCAAGACCATACACTTTATAAGCTCTCTGGCAACATTTCTTAGCTTTAGGAGTTTCCTTCCCGCCAACTACAATCCGGCCGGCATGTATATTTAAAGTTTCTTTCTGGTTTTCTCGCTAGAAAAAAAAAAATACTAGTATGGCATTATTAATTTCAGGTGAGATTTGAAGATTGTATGTTATGCGAACGTGTTCTTCATCGACACAATTTTGAAGCATCATGGCCTGAGGGAATGCTTTTCAGAGATCAATACCAACCCAGGTTTGGTAAATGAAGAAGGCAGGCTATGGATCTTGCCTAACCATGATTTCACTCAATCTACTCATGGATTTCATCATCCCTGCCCTCCAAACATGTGCAAGGTATATCATTTTTAACATGAATCATGCATTCATGCGTGAAATATTACTGAATTCTAACAGTAGCGGATGCAAGATTTTTTTTATGGAGGTGTGTTGGGCATTAACTAACTGTGAGATGTGATTGGATATTAGATAGTGGCAGTGAATGAAGGATTGAAGAATAAGGAATTAAGAAAGATATGTTCAAAAAGAAAATTTGAAGGTGTCCGAAGAAAACATTTTTATTTTCCAACCTTTGGAGGTGTACATGAATACCCGACTATACCATATGCATCCGCCACTGAATTCTAATGTTTAGTAAACGTAATGAATCCAAAGCATGATTAGCTGTAAGATATATAATTTTATGCTATAATTATTTTTAAGTTATCTTCATTTTCTTCCCATCCAACTGACTAATGATTGAATTCTTTCTTAATAGGGTATTATGATTGGAAGGATCCAAGTCTCTCTCATGCCCGTGGAGGAGAAGAAAACAATAATCTACCTCGGTGATGAGCTTGGCGATTTCTGTCCAAGTTTGAAGAAGGGAGATGGGGACTATGTAATGACAAGGAAGAATTTCCCAGTTTGGGAATTGATTTGCAAAAAAACAGGAGGCTAGTAAAGGCACAAGTATGCGAATGGAGTAATGGAGAGGAGTTTGACAAACCTTAAGCCTTAAACCTAATCCCTTTCATAATTAACCTACACCTTTTTCCCCCTGATCCGCTGACTAAACTTGATTAATCACATGGTTCAAAAGTCATCCATCAAACGGTAAATATTGCTTATACCGGAGTAATAATTTACAAGCAGTTGTATCAGATTAGTATGTGTTGCGTAGGAAGCTTGCAGGAAAAAGGGCTTCTTGTGTCCTACTTATTGCTTCCTACTTACACCTAATAATCCCTTCACGTAATATTCCTTTGGCATAAAATAAAATCCATTGTTTGCATATAAATACCCATCCCCTGTTACGCTGCTATACCAACAAGAAAACATTCAAAGTGTTGCTGAGTTTTTCCAATCTTGTTTTGTATTTTGTTTGATTTTCATTCAGAGAGATGGCTGGAACTGTTGTGGTTTTTGATTTTGACAAAACCATCATCGACTGTGATAGTGATAACTGGGTTGTCGATGACTTGGGTTTCACCGACTTGTTCAACCAGCTTCTTCCTATCATGCCCTGGAATTCTCTCATGGTAACCCATATTAAGCCCTCTGCAATTTCTCTTTCTGTTGGCTTTACATTTATAAAAAATGAAACTCAGTGTTTGTGGAATAAAATTACAGGACAGGATGATGAAGGAGCTTCATGCCCAAGAAAAAACCATTGATGACATTGCTGAGGTTCTGAAACGAGCTCCTATCCATCCTAGGATCGTGCCCGCTATTAAATCAGCTCATTCTTTAGGGTACTCCGTTATTTCTATGCTTCTCCTCTTGGTGTTTGACCTGTGACTATAAAAACTACAGTTTGAAGCAATAGAAATATAGGGTGATCAAATTGGTTTGAATATTTTTTCAGGTGTGAACTCAGGATTGTGAGTGATGCAAACATGTTCTTCGTTGAGACAATGCTGGAGCATCTTGGATTGAGGGAATATTTCTCAGAGATCAATACCAACCCCGGCTTTGTTGATGAAGAAGGGAGGCTGAGGATCATTCCTTATCATGATTTCACCAAGAGTTCTCATGGCTGCAACATCTGCCCCCCAAATTTGTGCAAGGTATCATATGTTTTTCATCAGTAACATGAGATTTAATTTCATGAATATCACAATTGTAAATATTTTAAATCAAGACACCAAACTTTTGTAGGAAGACCTAGATTTTTCATATTAAGTGAAAATTTCTAGAAAATTTTATTACTTGATGGTATTCCACATGTACAGAGTCAAATTCGTCCAACTTGCTTGGAGTTTTTATTTATCTCTTTATTTTTTAAATCTATTTTCATTTTAGATATGTCAACTTCTTTTCTTGACCCCACTTAATCTATTAAAGTAATGGCTCATGTAAGGTCATAAACAAACCCAAGACCTTGACATGGGTCAACAATCATATAAATTTAATGACAATCATGAAACAAGATGTCAACAATTTTAATTTTGGCTTCTGCTTTGTGTAACAGGGGATGATCATTGAAAGGATTCAAGCTTCTTTAGAGGGGAGGAAAAAAATCATCTACCTTGGAGATGGTACCGGTGATTACTGCCCAAGTCTAAGGCTTGGAAAAGCAGACTATATGATGCCCAGGAAGAATTTTCCAGTCTGGGATTTAATTTGCGGGAACCCTTTGCTCATCAAGGCGGAGATTCATGAATGGAGTGATGGTGAAGGGCTCGAGCGTGTTTTGCTACAAATAATCAACATGATTTCTGTTGAGGAAAACAAGGATAATTCTGCTCAACTAATCTCTGTTGACTGCAAATTGCAAACGATTTCAGCATCAAACCAGGCTTTGCCTCAAGCTTTGCCAGTTCCTCAATAAATTAGTTTTAGGGCAGATCGGAGGCCAATGCTCATCTATTGCGAAGTTGCTCAATATGATATTGATTGGTAGGCCAAATGGCCTTTTTTTCTCTACTTTTGAAATAAATGTAAATAAACTTTGCCAATGAAAATTTGACTGCAAAGTCTTAGCAATTTAAATTCATCAGTTTAAAGTTACAGATAAAAGATTATTTATAGTTTTTTTTTTCTTGTTATGAAAGAAGATTAATTATGATTGTCTAGCAATGATTCGAAATGAAAAAAAATGTTAAGATTTGAATATCAAATTTCACAAGTTTTTACATCACTGAAGAATCATCTGTCTATTGTTTTCACATATATATTCAAATTTAGATATATGTTCCAATCAAATTAGTTCATATTGAACAAGTTATGCAGCAGGATTAATGATTTAATTTCATGATTAACATTTCAATATGGAGATTGCTATTTTCATGACCAAGAAGTTACTTAAGTAAGTTCTTATCAATGGAGAAGTTTTACCTCTTTAATTGTATGGTTAAGATTATTTAAGCGGTACGGTAGTTATTAAATTAATAGTGTACTATAGAAAAGTTGGACCAAAGGTAGATTAACAAATAATAAAAAGTCAACAAAAAAATTTCCACATGACTCATTTTTTTTTTTTAAAAGAAGTTATTTGAAATAAAAAAAAATACAAGTATTGAGATTTAAATTTCAATTGAATATTATTTTTTAAAAATAATTTTATAAATCAGTTGAATTAAATTTTAAACTAATATATCTAAATTTTTGCATGTACTTGATTGTAGCATAAATAAATAAAATTATTACAACAAAAACCAAACCTATATGTCGAAAGTTTTATTCTCTTAAACACTATACATGTTATATTTCTTTTTTATAAATGCTTCTCTATCTGATTGTACTCGACAAATTCTAAGGGTTCAATATGTCAAGCCCCAAACCCAAAGATTTAGAATGTACTAACACTGCATATTCGTGAGATGAATCTCACAACCATATAAGGCAATAGATACCAAATTAAATTAAAATCTTCAATAATCTGTAAATTATACTTTACAAAATCTCAATACCAAACTAAATTAAAATCTTCAATAATCTCTAAACTATGCTCTACAAAATCTCAAGTCTATAAAATTATACTCTTTGCAAGTTAGTTGAATATACTAAAGTTCTTATTAGCAAATCTTTTAGAATCAACAATAAAATACTCACTTTGAAAGAATACCAATCTAAAGACAGATACTAATTTTACTAATCCAAGTAATTGTCAACATTCAGTCTCCCAAGACACAAACACTAAAATTTGAAAAAGTAAAGAAAAATAAAAAAATGACTAAGATGTCTCAACAAATACCCAACATCACCTCAGTTAGATTAAGTATGTCACAAATCATTTAGGCAAAAACATTAATTAAATGATTCAAAAATATTTTGGGTAATCTTGTATTCACAAACATATTTTCAAAACCAAATTCTCATATCACAAAATGGAATCAAATATCACAAAATTATAAATTTATTTAGTCTCCCGTAAAATACTATAACTACACTTAACTCTTGTGGCATAAGTCGAAATCAAAAATTTTCTTTTAGTGTAATAGGATAGAAATATATCAAAAGCAACTAAATCATTGCACTGACAATCATAATTAACCCATTAATGTAAAGGGATAGAACAAAAATTATAGTAACCCCTTTAGTGCAATGGGACAAAAGTATGTCATTGATGGCACAGTGAACAAAAATCACTATTTTCAACTGGTGGCACGATTCAAAATCGATATCAATGGCATAAAGTATATGTCAACATAGCCTACAATTAATCCCCATTAATAGGGTCAGAACATAGCCATACTATGAGACAAAACCATAATATGTTTTCAGATTACCTAACATATACAAATTCAATATTTATAAATTTTTTCAAAATATAATCTATACAAAGTAATTTCCATAATCGTTTCAAAGCAAAATTTTATATTCTGACAAATGATGGATATATAAATATATTATTCTGAAATCATATTCAGAAATCAAAATAATGTCAAACCATATTCCAAATTCATAACAAAGAAATCATAGATACATTTTACATGCTCAACCTGATTTATAAAACAAATGGACAAAACAATATATATTATATATTTCAACTCTAAATATATTGAGATTGATTTTTAGGGACATAGAAATCAAAGAGATATCAAGTCACTTACCTAATGCGCTAAATTGAAACTTAAACAGTGAATTACTCAATTCTCTTGATATCCTAATAATTCAAGAAATATTCAAAAATCAAAATTTAACCCAAAAACATAAATTTAATGAGGCAAACCTTTCATAGGTTATCCTAAGCAAATTGAGTTATGTAGCAAACTTTTCGATAATTCGAAACTATTTGAAAATATTTTCTTTTAGCATATAAAATAAATTTTATTTTAATATAGCAAAATACCTAGAATGGACTATAAATATGAAATTAAGGATTAAAACATAAAAATCAGTACCAATATAAATTTTTTCAAATATTTAATTTTTAACATTTAATAGTAATCATTTTTTTTTGTAAATCTAAATATAATTTAATAGTCCTTTAATAATACTAATAATATGAAATTAACACAATAAAAATATATTAAAATAAGTAAAAATTCATTAAAAATACTATAACTAAAATTTAAGTAATTTATAACTAAATACATTAAATATTGGCTGAAAATAATTTTTAAAATAATTAAAAACGAGAATTTTTAAATTATGTGATCATTTGGTTTAATTTGAGTCACAAAAGCTTGAACATTCTACAGTTCCTAATGACAAAATGAAGTGGAAATTTAAAGTAGGGATGTAATATTACAACATAGAATTTTGTTTTGGCAAAAATAATTTCTAAAAACCAAAGTTTCGATGGTCAAAACTTGACAAATCATCATAAACAGCCCTGATTTTTTTAGTTTCAGATTCATGAAGTCTGTTTTGGAGTTTCGATTCTATTAGCCTATAAATCATCTAAACAAAAGAATTATGCCAATAGAAAATTCTCATTTTGTACTATCAAAAGCATAAAAAGAACAACCAAATAGGCCACCAGGGTAAAGAATTTCAATGGATCAAAGTTGGGCGTCTATAATTGTCAAAAACCTAAAAATAAAAAATTTAAAACACTAAATTCTCCTAAATTACTTAACTAAATGAAGTACCACACATACCATTAGAAAGGTCTTAAAGAGACCTTTCCATTAGTACCTTCAATTTCATCGGATTGTCACTAGAAGGTCGTTGAAATATTTTTGAAGTTGAAAAGATATAAAAATATAACTTGAGGTTTGTAGAAAATTGTATAAAACATAAAAATTTCAAGAGTTTTTAAGCAAAATTTTATCTTAATCAGTGATTTCTAGAATTGATTTGTGTTATCTCATCCTCTCTTCTTCATCCCGAGTATTTCTTAAAATTTTTCCTTTTTTACTGTCAAAGAAAACTATCGACAAAAGTTGTTGATAAGTTTTCTTTTTATTTTCTTCTTCTTTAGGATTTTTCTTACTAATGATACTTATGGGCTGGACCACTAATTAGGCTATAATAACTTGGACTTAGGTATTACATAATATTCTTTGCACATGCTTTGATGCTTCTTCGATGAGAATTTTCTCACTTTTATAAAAAGGCATTGTGGATATGAATATATATGGTATATACTTATATAGATTAATTATTTCAATAATAAAGCGTTAAGAATCAGAATAAAGTGTCAATTTAAATATATTTTGATTTTACATGACAAAATTATTAGAAAGAATTTAAAATTTTAATTTTACTTTAAATCTGATAAACTAGAAATGATTTTTATGTGAAATATAATTATAAATTACTTGTCTCTAATTATATAACTTAAAATCTGAACATATATTAAAAAAGTTAAAAATTTTAAAACTTAGGATCAAGTAACTTGAAAATTCAAACAAATTAAGCATACTTAATTTCTTATTATAGACTTTATTTTTTAGGAGGTCATTTGAGAATACGAGAAATGATTATAAATATTAAGATTTGAGTCACAGTTAAATAACATCTCTTAAGAGTAATTTTATAAAGCAACTAACCTGAATTTCGGATTTCACAAATCCTAGACTAGCTACATAGTTGTTCAATCAACTCCTCTCTACCATGCCTTGGAACTCTCTTATTGTTAGTCTTTTAATTTATTTGTTTTTCTTCTTTTTTCTTTTCCAAATGTAAGAACTAGGGCTTATTTTTTTTATGTACAAAACAGGATCTAATGATGAAAGAAATTCATTCACAAGGAGCAAACATTGATGTCATTGTAGCTGTTCTAAAAACAATTCCAATACATCCCCGAATTATCCAAGCCATTAATTCGGCTCATGCTTTAGGCTATGCATACATTTTTCTCAGTTTTCGTATATATTTAGTTTTTTTTTTTCATATGGTATTTCTTTGATCCAAAGAAGTAGGAGGCTACCAGTCAACAAATCAAAGAATAAGCTTTAGCATTTCCTATACAATCCTTCAATTTTTCACAGACAGAGCTAATAGATGGATTATTCATATTTTTTTACAAATTTTATAAGGCAAAACTTTACATTAAAACAAATGTCTAGGAAAGACTTTTTCAATATTTGAAGAACAAACGCCAAGTTTTGGAGAATTCCTCGCATGGCATATTTGATATATTTATACTTCTTGTTTACGCTCCTCTCAGAATCTCCTAATATTAGCTAGTGTGCTCAATATATTAAGAACCACAAGCCAAGTGATAAAACTATGTCTAGGGAGTGAAGAGGAATTCCAGACCAATTTATGCCAAACCAGAGTTGATTGCCTGTCCCTGATACAGTCCCATGTATTTGAAAGTATGAACATGCCAGACTTTGACGCCTGCCAAACAACATCTTCCTCTTTAGTGAAGGTCAGACCAGCCAACATCTGCAGCAAATCCTTCATCTGTAGAGAAGTAGTGAGATATCGAGTCCAATCGTTTGTTGAGACAGCAGAAGCCACAGTTGCGTTCTCAGGGATTGCAGCCTGTGATATTATTCCTCTGTCGCAAGAAGTAATTAAAGGACCATACACTTTATAAGCTCTCTGGCAACATTTCTTAGCTTTAGTAGTTTCCTTCCTGCCAACTACAGTCCTGCCGGCATGTATATTTAATTTTTCTTTCTGGTTTTCTCG